ATTAAATTTTGCAACAGCTCTCTCTGGTGGACAATTTGCAGTAATTGTATACATCAGATCATTTCAATGGCAACATTCAAAGACTACTGCTAAATTTCAGGACAACTGCTTATTTTGAATACTGATGATCAGCATAGCTTCATTAAGAAAATAACAATCTCTGCTACCTTTTTATTCTGATATTTGTTCAAACTGAGATGCACATTTATAAAAAGTAAGTTGTCCTTAAGTTTGCTTATATGAATTATGTATAGCTAAACTGTTTGTATTTAAAAAAACCTATAAAGATGAGCTGTTGTGCTCTAGATTATAAAAAAGTTCTCAGAGGAATTAAGGTATCACTTGGTAGTGGTCTGTTGGGACCATATTTGCTATTAGACTGCTTTTGGCATTGCCATGAACTGTGGCTAAAAGGGCTGCTCCAGGGCTTGCTAAGCCATACTGATAAAACATAGAACAACTTTCAACACTGGTTCTAATTCAAGATCCCAGGATGCCCACTCAGAAGCAGGAAGATTTAACACTTGTAAGTTGATCTCTTAATAGTACTCACATTATTCTATACTCACCCTAGAGTAAAGCAGCAGTTATTCCCAAGAGTGATTAAAAAAATCCTCAGGTATGGTGGGGCTGGCAAATTCCCACTGCAGCAAATGTTGTCATAACCAGGTGGAACCACAAAGCAACCAGTAGGGACCTGTTATTCACAGGCAGTAGTACCCAGAGCCACAGGCCCTGAAGTCCCAAAAGGTTTAGGACCTGCTTGATCCTGCTGGGAGCATGGCTCAACTGGCCTGGCCTGAAGTCCAGCCTTTTACAGCACTTGTGATTACTCCCAGGATGTGTAAGAGAGCAGAGTGAGATGGAGGTTAACACTGATGCCAGCTGCTCTAGTAACCTCCAGCAGTTTATACAATTGAGGTACCAATTTTTACATGCTGTGTAAAATAACTACTCACCTTTGTCCCCTTCCTAGGGGCAGAGAAGGACATTATAACATTACTGAAAGACTTCTGGCTTAAGAAAACCCCAAAGACATAAAAGAGCCAGAGAACCCCTCTGCAACACACTGCTTTTCTGCAAGCCTTTCTAATGATTAGAAACTATTAGCCACTATCAAGAGAAAATTATCAACAGCCAGAAGATGCTGCTGCTTTTTTATTAGCTTAAAAAAAAACCATCCACATCCAACTTCCTAAACCTCTAGTCATATTTACAGATCTCTTATTGCTCTTTTAGTATTATATGATGCCTATATATGTACACACACACACACAAATATTTGGAAGTGCAATAGTAACTGTGACCTAAAAGTTAATTTCACATCTTCAAACAGAACAGAAAAAAAAAGTCACTTAAAATTTTCCTGTGATTATAGATCCGCTTCCCTCTTTTCTGGCAGGCTGTAGAGAGTCCAAGTAAGGCTGAACTGCTGTACTATGTACTGCAAAATACAGACTAAGATGTCACAGTTTAAGGAATTATGATAGTTAACACACCATAAAAAAAAAAAGTATTTTGTATTAGTGACCTATGTTAGACCAGAAAAGAAGTCTCAAAAAATGAAAGGAAAATCATTAAAAGACCATTTTAAAAGAACAGAATTAATTTCCCTTTCTATCTAGAACCAAATACAAAATATAATAACTAGGTGAATTGCTATACCTAATATCTGAAAAAAAAAACCAACCTACATATATTGCTATATCTGCAAAAAACCCAAAAAATATAAAGTGAGCTTCTCTAGCATTGCTTAGGAAGAGGTTCCTACTTCCAAGTGCAACAGAACACTTGCTTCCTTACAATTTAAATTCTACCCTGGTTTGAAATGGTAGTTCTTAAAAAAAAACTCAAACAAATGGCAAAAACCCAACTGATAATGAGTAGATAAATCACGTTTCTTATGTGCATATCCCAGAATGACAAGCTTCTAAGAGAAACAGGTTGCATGAAGAAATTATCCTTTAGTGATATTAAAAATAATGCATCTTCTGTTTAACATGAACTGAGAACTAAAAGAACAAGTACTTTTAAACTGGTATGCTAAATACCTTGTCTTCTAGAACAGGTTCCTTGGAAACTTGAGTTTCCATTCCATACCCAAGGTTCAACACAACACAGCTGCTCTCTGTTGAATATGAATAGAGGATGGGAGATTACACAATTTTCTCACTGACCTGCATTGTATTTTTCCTCAACTCCCCCATTTTATCAAGTGCATGCATTGGCCTTCAAATATTGGTTTGATCTGCAAAAGTAATAATCCTTTGCATTCCATTACCAAATCAAAACATTTATCAGAGGACACAGGCAGATCTTGGTGCAGTATTGTTCTACACAACCTTCCAGTTTCAGTGACATAAATAACCCTTCCTGGTACAGTCTTTTCAACAATTTCTGTTCGCTTTGTATCAAGTTCTTTTAAGTCATACAGCTTTAACTTCATGGGATGCTCTAAACAGGTGTCTCCAAAAGCCTTATACAAGCTGAGACACAATTCAAAGGCATTACCAAGTCCGAAAAATAAATTTGCTTCTGGCAAGTTATCACTGGTCCTTGCTTATCCACTTTTTTGTCTTTTAGATGACTTAGAAGTACTGAATTTTTCTTGCTTTTATTCAGAAACTGAATTCATTAGTCAGGTACCATTAAATTACGAACAGGCTCCTTCCTCACCACAAAGAAAAAGCCCACATCATCATCCATTCACCCACCAGACTTAAGTTAGCATTTATCTGTAATGATATTACTTAATCTAGGACAAAAGAAGAGATTTATTATTAGTGTATTTTTGTCCTATTCAGCCTTTAATACCCACTCCTTCAAATTTATTCTCAGCTTTATATTTGATCATGCAGCCAAATACTTTTGTCTTCACTTTTTAAGTTTTAAAAAACTGATTATATATTTGATTATGCTATATTATTTTCTATAATTAGCAGAATAGTTAGGAATGCCAAGGTCTCACTCAGACTAATAAATCTGAGATCAGTCCTTTGCAAAAGGGGAAACAGAAACAAGAAAAAAATATTAATAGGCAAGTGTTGGCACAAGAAATTACATACGGATAACATTAGAAACCTGTGAGGTAAATATTACATAAACCACTAGAAGGAAGGGGCAGAAATTTACTAGATAACATATAATTTAAAAGCAGTAATGAACAGAATGCTTAAAAAAATGTATGAATGTTAAGCAGCTCAGAAGCCTACTAAAATACAACTTTATAATAATTTTCTAAGTCAATGAAATATAAAAAAACTATACAGGAAGTTTTGGCTAAACAAAAGATTAGTATCAAAAAAGCAGATTTTCCTTTAAAATAATCATAAATATGTATTTTAGTAAGAATTACTTTTTTCTTCTTCAAAACAACTGATTTCTAGAAGCTGAACACAGTATGGTATTCTATTTGGCTTTGACCTGATGGTCTAATTTTCCAAGTGAAGAAACTTAAGAAACATTGAGAAAGTCTCATGGAGTAAATTATTAAAAAAAATAAAGTCAGCCATTTGAGCATAAAACATACATATAAAGTGTATTGGGTTTTAGACAGTAGACAATAGTTTCTCATGACACTACAGAGAAAATGAGTCTTCGTCAGAAGTACTTACAGTATGTCAAAAAAACCCCATATATGGCCCCTAAGATAAGAGAACTAATAGGATCCATAAATCAGTGGTCAACATATAAAGTCTTATCATAGAAATATTGTAAACAAAATATAACCAGGATCCCAATTATCTTTGGTATACCAGACTCCCAGGGAATCTCTTATGACACATTTTATATCCAACTTCAGAGGGAAAAGAAACTGTTTAAACATTTTGCATTTAAACTATCACATAAAAATCCAGTATATCTCTATGATCACAGTTCAGAATGGTTATTTTCTTTTAATAAAATGCTTCTGGCCTATAATATCATATCTTAATCGTTCTGGCCAAAGATCCATTTCTGAAAAGGGTCTGATGGATTACAGGATGCCAAACTTGGATGCTCTCCATTTCCTGTAAGGCACATATGTAGTGCTTCATTGTACAGAGTTTGATCCTAAAGTGAGGAAAAAAGGAGGAAAAGAAAAGTGAACCAACAATGAGCATGCTAGTTCCCCCACAGTTCTTCCCCCAAGCTGGTGCTAAAGCTCATACAGGTGGTGCAGAGGGGGCTAGAAAATACATAAGTAGTATGTAAGTGCCAACTTGCTTTGTTAGGAAAATTTTGTAAAATATTTTAAAAATACAAAACATCTGAACTGACTTCCAGGTAGATGTCTAGACAAACACACTAAAGGACTGTTTTTTTAAGTGACATTCTACTAGTGACATCAAGTTTTGATCTGTACCTGAAACCTCCTGCTTTTCAGGTTCTCATTTTCCTGCTAAAAGGAAATTTACACATTTTTGCCTTCAGAGTTTTTGTTTTGTGTGCGCTTTTGCTTTTATTTAAAATCCAAAACTAACTAATAAAAATGCCATTTCACTGCACAGGATATGTACCTTCTGGTGCAGCCACTGCTCCTCCCCAACAGCAAAGGTTTTCTGGCCTTTGTAGGTGCACTCACGAAGCTGCACAGGTCCCTTGGAAGCATGCAGACAAAGCTCCTTCTGAATGTTATGGCGAATTTCGTGGTGTGCAGAATATTCAAAGTACTATTTAAACAATTTTTAAAAAATTTTGGTAAATAAACACAAAGAGAAGTATTAAACTAAATTAAGCCTTTCAAATTCCCATACACAAAATAATACATTTCTTATTAAAAACTTTGAGACTACAGAATAATTCCTCTGATTTTTGGCATAGACAGTTCAAAAGTGTTTACAAAATTAAAAGCAGTTTTCAGTAGTAATACAATACTAATTTATACTTGTATGTATAAATTGGAAATAAATTTTGCTGCATGTGTACTATGATGTAAAATTTTACTCCCACACAGACCGTATATAATTCACGGAGACAAACTGAAGAGTAGAGATATTTTAAGATAAGAAATGCCAAAATTTAAGTTAACTAAAAATCTTTATTTAATTCTGTTGCTAGATTTTGGTTTTTCTTAGAACAACCAAAAAGAAAGGTTGTCACACAAAACAATGCTGATTGCTGTATGCCAACTTTTGCTGCTTGATCTAAACAATAAATGTGAACAATAGGATGCTGTTATATCCTCCTGTGAGGTAACCATTAGAAAATTATAAGCATGTATTTTGTGAGCTCATTTTACCATGATTTCCTGACAGCAGAGTACTCCTAAGGTCACCTGTAAGCCTGACCCTAACAGGGATTTACTTCTAAAAGTTACAGACACAGCTGTTCTTTTGCCCCTTCAGCCCTAACCTAACATTAGGTCTCCTCCTTTTCTCCCACATTTACCAGCAGAGTCCCTAACATTACATCTCACTGCTACTGTTTCTTGCCTCTGGATGTCAGCCACCTTCATCATATCTTTCCTTTGAATATTAAGGCCAGGCTCAGTTACCCTTCTTGGCCTTCTGTTTTCCAGTGGTCAGCAATCACCTCCTCACTACCTTGGAAACAATGGGAACAGCACTGAGGAACAAACAGGCATCTCACTCTTAAGACTTTATGACCAACATTAGTCCTCAAAACAGGTAGTGAAGGAGTGACCTGCTTAGTCATTTAGCTCTCAGACACAGTAATTTACTCTTCATCTGGTAAGATGACTTAATCTGTCCTGATTTATTTTTGGAACTTCGACATCTCTGCAAGCCCTAAAAATAATTACTTGAAAACTATGTTTAGAACTTTATTAATTTTGGATATTGAGATGGGTATGTTTCCAGCCTCCAATATTCTAAAAAGTAAGAATAATACACAACTGATGTACAGCTCTAAAAACTAGGTTCTCTTTTCTACTCCCATTTCCAATATATAGACGAAGAAGACAGCATGGAAAATATTCAGCCTACACTGACAGTCTGGTAGCTGAAAGTCTGGTAAAGAACAGAGGATAACTGACAGAGCATTGTCATAAGAAGGGTTAAGTAAGCACATATGCATCTCTTAAGCATTACCAGCAAAATCAGTTCTCTGAAGGCCAGCATTTAAAGGTATTCAGACTTATTTTGTAGCAGAAGGGGAAACAAAAAACATAACACTTGAAAGAACAGAATTTTAGTATAGCCCAAGATAACTTAAGAGAATAGAAGCATACAGATCTCTTAATACAATGTCTTTCTACAGTGTTCCCAAATTAATGACTGTGACAATGTGAAAAGGCTAATAGCATTAATCCACAATCGAATAAAACCCCAAATTCAATCCTGTAAGAAGCTAACATAATAGGGTACTTCTTAATCTAGATAGCATGCCATGTCTCACAAAAAATTATTAGGAAGAACATATCACCTGACTAGGATTATATGTCTCAAGTTTCACAGTGCCATCAATGAATGTCTTTTAAGATTGAAAAAAAAATTATTAACACCCTCCTCCGCATAAGATAACAATTATATTCTAATAAAAACTTTTAGACCTTTGCTGACCTTTAATTATTAAGGATCACTTTTAAGGGAAACAGAGAAGTGTGCATTTCTGGGCAGGGAAGGAGATGCTCCTTTTGTTAGTGTTACAGTAATGACAGAACGATTCAGAATCTGACATCTATTGCAAGTCATATTGTAGAAGGAACAGAGCACCATGGCTGCCTCCAAGAGCTATGGACCAAAGAGAGCTCCTCTTGAACAAATGGAATCATATTATTCACTTGCATTAGCCAGTACAGGATTGGCCACTGTGACCTCACACTGTGAGGCTGCAAGCGTGATAGGGAAGGTGGCTCAGGCCTGGACACTTGGTCTCCCGTTGGCCGGATCCCAACCAACATCTTCCTTGAGAGTGCGAGTCCTGGTGACAGAGAAAGAAGCAATAGGAGGAAGCATAAGGAAAGGAAGAATTAAGAAGACAACACTTACAAGACAGGAGACAACACTTGCAAGACAGGAGTAAGGGTGGCATGAAAAGGTTTTGCACAGAAAAGAGAGGGCAAGTGAAGCAGTGCAAGCGTCTCTGAAATCTGAATTTGTATACTGCAGTTAAGAGACACGACATGACATGAAGAGTGGTATGGAATTTTTCTTTTAAAATATATATTGGAATTAACTGTTAAAGAAAATAAAGGAAGGAAGAGAAGGAGAGAGAAATTGTGTATTAAAAATGAGTCAATTTCTCTAAAATTAAAGTTTTTATACGGTAAAGCTACAGCAGAAGAGAGACTAAAAATCAGGTATTAAATATTTTACCTGGTTTCCTCCGAGTCCATGACAAGAATACATAATCAATGGTTTGCCACCATGGTTATTTTCACCAACATCCAGACACATGCGGTTACCTATATTTTTTAACTAAAGAAAGGGTGTTGTCAGGATAAAAAAGCTCAGTGGAATGACAGAAACTCAAACCGTCTCACTCATAGACAAAAGTCACCTTTAGTTTAACAACAATTACAGCTGTTCTTTCATTTTTACTTTCTACTATGCTCAAATCTAAAAATCCTGTTTCCTCAAGTAATCTTTTCCAACTAAAAGCCTAGTAACTAGAGTCACACATGGAGTTATTAGCCTGCTCTGTACAATGTTACTGTGATTCAAATCACAGTCTGAAGAGATACACATAAAATATTTAAAACAGGAGGAAGGGGAAGTTTTATTTGTAGATAGAAGCTAAAACCTCATGTTCACCTCAAGCTAAGACTATTACTTTTTTGTTTCTTTTAGCAATGCAATGTCTAAAGTTATTTGGCAAGGGAAAAGACATTTGACATAAATTAAAAATGAAAATGACACAGCTATTGACAAAGCTATAAAAGGTAGGCAGAAGAGATTATTTTTCCAGAGTTGTGACAGAAAACCCTAGAGCAGTTAAAGATGGCTAAAGTCTAAAAGCTATGGCTAAGGTAGCACAAGAGATTAGCAAACTTCCTGGACTATGAAGACTATAGAAAGTAGTTAAAATTAAACTTACATATCCAGAAAACAAAGGATTCAGGTCTGGCACATATGCTTCTGGATAAACATTACTGAGGTACCAGGTAAAATTTTTACACTGCAGGCGCTGCCTTAAATCAATTCTTTTTGATATGTCTCCAAATGTTTTCTGTTAGAGGAAAGGAGGAAGGATGGAAGATAAATATATTAACATTCATTTTGCACATGTAAAGCTATGATATTTTGTGACGTACTAGTTTTAAGGAAGTTTAACTAGTTTAACAAAGGAAGTTTTATGCTTCCTTTGTTGATTTTTTCTTGTTAATGCTGTACTACTACAGTTACTGCTGTGTTTCAGTGTCATAACACCACTGACATCCTGCCTGCAGCATTTCAAAGCACTTGCAAGAAAAATACATTGCAAGATGGAAAAGACAGAATCTTTAGTCCCAAGAAAGTTTTAACAGAGTGCCATGAAGTGGGAAAGTCCAAGTGAGACCATACTGATTACAGCTATAAAGCCAACTGATCTCACTAAAACTGTAAGCTGAAACAAACTGGATTAATTAAATAAATAGCCTAATATCCAGTACAATGTAGAATCTTCCAAACAAAATTCAGTTGTTTAGCTGCTGAACATACCGAGGAAATGTAATGCTTTCAGTGATACAACAGTCATAAAAATTTATCACATGAAGGAGGAAAAACAGCTTCTAAAAGAAAACTTAGAATTCTAGGTGGGCAGAAAACTTACAAAATAAATAAGTCAACACTCAACCTCAGCCCCAAATATTTATTTACTTGAAAATAACTGACTTTTTAGGCAGAGACAGGATGGTTACCCATTATCAAGTAACTTTTATTCTGCTGCTAAATAACAACAAAAGCTGCTTTTTCAGTAAGAATATTAGGCAACTTTTCACTACAGAAAATAAGCTACTTTACATTGTCTACATTCATTAGTTTCTCTCATGTTCTTCTGTTAGTTACTGTACCTGTGCAATGCAAACAACCCAGGAGAATGTATGAAAATAAACACCAATAAAAAAACTCACCATACAAAATCAACATTCATCACCCAAACACTTAGTTTTTTTCATGTCTGTTGGGGCTACAGCATTAAGCAAATTAAACAGTCTTTTGATTAAAATATCTAGAATCCTCACATACTTTGTCAATAAATAACTTTTGCTCACCAAAACTTTCACCGCAGCAAGTGTGATTTCTAATACCACCACCACCACCTACTTGTTTCACAATTTTTGCTGCCTCTGTGTTTCTTCGGTAAAATATTTCTTTATATTCATCCATCCACACTTCTGCAAGGCGAACTTGATTACGTGTGATCACCTGAGTACCTTTTGGGAAAGTATGGGGACTCTTGCTGCGAAAGACATGGCCAACAACAGAGCAAGGCATGATCTCCAACTGTCCACCACATTGCCATACCTAATAATAACATTTGGTGTGTAAGTACACTGCAATTAGAATTCAGGGAGCGGAAAAAATTCAGTAATACTATTGTTTGCCAGAACACATCAAACCACTAGCAAGAGTATGTATATCAGGCATACCATTAGTGTATAATAATAGAAACCCTGGAAACACAATTCAAATAGCAACCCTAAAAACATTTATAAAAAAATTAAAATCAGTTTAGTGAGCATGTTTGTATTTTATTTCATAAGTAATTAGTAATTCAATTTTCCTTGTCCTAGTTGGCTGATTGAGCAGAAGAGTCAATATCTAATATTAATTTATTTTCAAGTTCCCTGTACACTGTCAGCATAGAGGCAATTGCTAATTAAGGAGCTAAACTTACTCTGAAAGACATTTCTATATTTTCACCTCCCCATATTTCCATTTCTTCATCATAGCTTCCAATGTATTCAAAGTAGTCTTTCGATATTGAAAAGAGGCCTCCAGCAAAGGTAGGTGTTCTGCAAAAACAAAATTTTACTGAGAAAGACAGAACGGTTTTTTAAATATAGACGTGAAATCTTGGTGCAACTGTTCTAGGAGTTTTCCGTGCACTTATTAGTATTTCATTACAGTGATGCATATTCCTGGCATAGATAATACTTCTAGCACTTAAATATCTTCACATAGAGTCTCATTTGACAGTTTATTGCCATTTATTAAGAACTTGTTCAGACTAACAACTGCTGGCATAAAAGAAAGCATCAGGAAAACAAACAAATTTTCTTTGTATGGAGGAAATCGATCACAAGTACAACTCCTACAGACCAGTAACCCATCTGTGGACAAAGCAGGTACAATTATCATCAAATGCACTACTGTATCAGCTTAGTATCTGGCTGCTCTGACCATTTTTTTTTTGTCATTCTTTCAAGTAAAGTGAATGAAGAGACAGAATCATTGTACTGTCTCTGAAAATAACCGTGTATAATCCTCCTCTGCGCCTCCCCTCTAGGAATATAGGCAATTCCTACTGTATGTAGAAGAAGTTGCACAGAGAAATTACTATCTTGATGAGGCTATATTTTTAGGAAAGCTTTATAATGTGATTCTTAAAGAAAGTATTACAAAAAACATCCAAGATGCTAAGATGTCTGATTATATTAATTGGAAGAACTCATTTATTTACAAACTCTCATTAATAAGATAAAGTCCGTGAAAACAGAAGGATTTAAATAGTATTCAAATTATGTTTACCTAATTGGATAGGTTTCATCCTTTCTTCTTTTATTCTCATGTTTAGGAAGAGACTCCCATCCAAATGACAAACTCCAGTCAAAATTACCTCTGTTGTGGCTATGCCCATAAGGAGATGGTTTACTGAATTCAAAGGTATTGAGATCAATAGAAGCAATGTCAGGGCTTACAACAGCAACAGGATTCTCAGCTATTCTTGCCAATAATGGCTCTAACCAGCCATAAAAGCATTCACCTGCGGAGAAAATGGGAACACTGAATTTTTGCTTGGCTATAAAGTAGTATATAGGGTATGTTTTAACATGTCCAGCAAGCCAATATGGACTATTTTTAAATAGCATTGCTAATTATACTTTCAATAATATGAAATAGCAATAGGAAATATTATATATTGCCAACATTTATAATTCATAAAAAATCTGCAACATTAAATTGAAGACAACAGCATTATAAACCAGACCTGACATATTTACAGGTTAAACTTACAATGAGCATCCAGGAAGGTGAGGGTCTCTCCTGTTGCTACTGAAGCTCCCAACAACCGTGCAGTGATCAGACCTTTCCTTTCCTTCTGACGGACAACTTTAACTATCTGAAACTGCTTCACATATTCATCTAGTTTATCATGCAGGTACTCTAGAAAGAGAAATCAGTATCAGGATATTCCGTGTATACACATGCCACTGCCCAAAATGTTACACTATTAAGTGAACAAGATAAACAACTCAGAATTACTCCAGAAATATTCTCAATGTTAAAGCCATAAAAATTTCTATCTGCTGAAGGTTATTTTTAGGGGCTGAGTATTTTGAGGGCAGGGGTGCAGGAAGACGTGACCAGCAGTGATCAGGAGATGGAACATTAAAATAATTCTGAACAAGAAAGGACGTGCTAGTCCATCTCTGCTGCAGTATTAACCATTTGAATACCAATTCCATTTTCACAGCAAATGGATCTCCTGCTTACAATATTCGCAGAACATGCAAATTCTTTGTTTAATGATGGCACATTTACACAGTTTTCAAAGGTTACAGTATTTACAACTGCAACAGAAGCCATATAAAAAACTAATTAAATGTTCAGATTTTGAGAAAGAAATCCACATCTCTCATGAAACATATCACATCATCTGTTTTATTCTGACCATCCTTAGTATTAAACTGTACTACTGAACATACTTCACATCCAAGTGTTTCAATATACTCAATACAGACTTGCAAAGGTTTTTGAACTTGCACTTGTGTTCACACTAAGTATATATCTAATTATTTTTGAGACTCAGCTAGACCGTTGAAGATTATTTTGCCATTAAATAATTTTGCTTTCTAATAAAGACACTACCCTTCATAGTAATGAAATTTATTTGCATAAAGACAACCACTATGATAAAATACAAATTACTACAAGTCTGGGCCAGTTTATACTTGGATACTTTGTTCTACAAATTGCAATTGGTTTGAAACACAAATAACAAAGCTACTTGTTATGCAAGTAGTTATGCAGGCAAATCAGCATCAGAACTGGAAAAAGTAGAATGGGGTTTAAAAACCTTTCAGAGCACAGGAATTTCATATTTGACTACTTTATGGAAAAATAAGGTGGGAGAGGGATATTTTATATTTAAAAAAAGAGAAAGAAATAAAACCGCTTAGAAAACTGTTATACAGTCAATAGTGGTAAAGAGACACCCTCTTAGCTAATTTATCTGCAATCCTAACCTCTTCAATTAAAAAAAAAAACAAAAACAAAAACAGAAGCAAAAGCAGGAAGACTTCTTACCATCTACGCTGGCATCATCCACCAAAATAATCTCTTTCAGCAGTATGGCGGGAGATGTGTACATCACGCTGTGGACAGTTCTGAGCAGAGTTGACCACGCTTCATTATGGAAAACAATGATAATGCTGGTGGTTGGCAATGGCGGGCAACGCTTAAATTTTTGCTCAATACATCTACAAATTAGAAAGTTTCAGGGGTTACAAAATAGACAATTTTTTACTCAAACTCTTAAACTTTTCTTTCTAGTACAAAACTTTATAACTATGCACATTAAATAGTTCTGCTTTTCTGCTTTCAATCCTAGCTTTGGAGTGCAAAGGTATGTACTTCAACTAGAGCAGCTGATCAGAATATTTTTTAAAGTATCATGACTAAGAATTGAACAACTTAGTTTTGCCTCTGTCTCACACACATTTGAGTAAATTCCATACAATACCCAGGCCTTCTTCAGGAAAAAAAGTTATTTTATTGAGAGCAGCACGTACTGACTGAGCTAACTCAAAAATTATCATTACTGCTGAACCCTAAGTATACAAAGAAGAATATTTATTCGAAAAATACAGAGGTTGCAAGGAAAAATATAACCTAATTCAAATTTCAAAGCTTTTTAGAAATACTATGTAAGCCTTAGGGCAGCATGTCCATTCAATGGATACAATTTTAAACCCACAGTTTTTCAAGACTGACATATCCTAAACATAACGTTAGATCCAGTGGCAAGTCAAGATGACAATGCTGTATTCATCAGTTGCACACTTAATGTTTATGGCCTGTCAGCTTTAGGGCCTGGAGGACACCCCAAGGTAATAACCCCAGTCATTGCCCCACAGAATACACAAGCAAAGCCTCCCCAGTTATGCTCTAGGAGAGGTTTTGGTGAGCTGCACCGTGTGTATCAGCAGCAGCTCAGTAAGTTATGCCACTTTTGACACAGATGGCTGACAACATTTCATCTCACACGGACAGAGACTGCTCATAACTAAAACCCACTCTCCCCAAGTCCTAGTCTACATTTTAAAAATTCTTCAGTATGACAAGATTGCTGCTGAGATCTTCCATTCCTTGTTCAACGGTTTACAAATACAAATTTATTAAATTATGCCTACATTCCAAATGTATTAAATTAAATGATGTAGTTTTATTAAAACTGAATGCTAAAAAAAAGTGAGGGGTGGTGTTTTAATTGGAAAAATATTGAAACCACATTTTTAGTCTTATTCTAAGTAAAACTAAGCAGGCTTCCTGAAATTATTCAGAAATTTTAGCCTTAAAGGCAAAGTCAGAACACCTTATTTAAATACGGTTACTTTGAATTCAAAAGCATGAAAGAAGTGAGTTTTTCTAAACATTCTTTGCTTTGGCACTGTGGATCACTATGTACAGCCAATCATTATGTATAGCTAGGAGACTTTCCTAAACTATCACCTACTGCTGAACTCAAATCACCTTGCAGGCTGGATTTCTGAGAAGTTTTTCTACTATCAGGATGTACACATTTCAACTTACTCAGGAGGTCGAGTGTCTGGTCCAAGATCTCGGTGTAAAGAAATCCTATCACTTGCAAATGCATTAAAACAGTGTTTCTCTTCTCCAGCCTGTTTTTCTTTCTGCTCTTCTGAATTTAAGTTGATGGTTTTAAATGCTTTGCCAGAAGCTCCAGGAGCGTTAGGATCTTGAAGGGGCCGATCTAGAAAGGGTTTCAGTTCCACTGGAGTATAGTGCCCTGGCAAACAGTGTCTCTCTCCAGGAACCTTAGTTTGCCTAATGGGTGCTTTTATCTGCATTTTTGGCTTTGCACCTTTGATATTGTTCATAGCATTTAACACAAGACCTAATACATGACTTTTCTTTCCAACAACTGGCTCAATCCCTGCTTCATCCTTAAAATCTTGAACACCCACTTCTCTTTGTAATAAAAATAAAAATACCAGAAAGACAAACACAATAATGCTAAACTTCCAAAGTTTCCAATGAAAAAATGTCTTAAATAGTTTAGGTGCCTTTTTCAAGGCCATTCTAGTTTTAAAAATTTTCACACAACAGAAGTTTCTGTGAGTGTTGTTCTTCAAATATGTCACTGCATTTCTTGAAATTATAACACCTGTAAATTAAAACAAATAGTATTAATTTAGACATCTAGTATATTCAACTATGTAAAGCCATAAGAAATTAATGGAAAGGAATTAATTCTCAGCTCCCAAAAGTCAAATATTATGCATTCTACATCACTTAAAGATATATCAAACCTATATATAAGATACCCAAAATGCCCTTTCCCTGCTTTTTGCTTTGGGTTTTATTTGTTGAATACACTTCATATAGAAGAACACAGAAATCAGACATACCATCAAAAAAAACCCAACATTTTTACACGGTGCCACTACTTCAAGTTTATTTTCTTCCAAGTAATTTGTTTAAAATTAGAATAAAGTTTTATAGAAGCAGGGAGTTTTAATTAAATGATGGGACAGAAGAAAAACATGTGGCATCAATACATTAGTTCAAGCTGCATGTCAGAAAGAATCATGTGGAAAGTGAACTAAAAGATAGGAAACACTTTTCAATCAACTTATTTCAACAATTTTCAAGTTTCTGCCATTATTTTGTTCACAGACAAGTAATTATTCACTTGCTTTAAAAGATGAAACTATGAAAGACATTTGAGGACTACCAAAATCCAAGTGATTTGCATTAAATTCTATCTGCCAAATTGGCAGTTTACAAGGGGATACATTCTGCCACCAGCCTGAATAGCTTGAATAGCTATTCAGGGAATAGCTTCATTTTTTGTTTAAATTGCACGTATGTGAATCAAGAAGAGAAATAAACAGCATCCAGCTAAAAACCAGTTAGTTGCCACTTGTAAACTACTGACCACAAAATTTCAAGAACTACTTTTGTGGTGTGTTTTTCTTTAATTTGATATTTGTTCTGCGTATGTTCAACTCCCCCCATCCCTAATCTCCTCCCTTCCCCTGTTGTCAATCTTCCCAAACTCTTCTCTAACCCCCTCCTTACCAAGTTGTCAATCCTCCCTTTCCCCAGAACATTCCCTGTCACTCCTCCCAGCCTCCTCCCCTGTTTCCAGAGCATTCCCTGTCTATTCAGTGAGGCTCAACACCCTATTGGTTACGTTGTGTTACTCCACTCCCCTGTTTCCCCCGATAGGTTTGTGCTATGTTAGTCCCTCCTTAGACTCCTCCCCAGTCCCACCCTCATTGGTTGCTGTTCCTCTACCCCTCCTCTTGAGTTCCTGTATAAAATCTTTGTTTGCCCTCCCCAGAGGGTCTTGGGGCTCACTGAATAAAACTATCCTACTCACCCCCAAGTCCAGTGTTGCCTCAGTTTGTCCCGTTACAACAAACTACTTTTCTATTTATTCCTCTGAAACACAAGTAGGTCTTAACTAGAGTAATATATACTCAGGAAGAGATAAAAGTCAGAGAAAACAAACTCTTTTACCTGCTTTTCTTCAAGAATCTGCATGAGAAACTAAGCATCTGGATTTCTTCATGTTACACTGTTTTTCAAAATTTATGTCAGCTTAATAAACCCTTACATTCAAATGACAGTGTTTTTACCATAGAGTTATTGTTAAAAGAATGCAGAGGGGAAGCATATTAGGTCATACTTAAAGGTACCAAAAATATGCTTCTCAACTCATAAAATTTCAAAAAACCCAAACCAAACAAACCAGTCCACTTCTGTGTCACATACTATTTTCCCATTTTTCCTTACTGCTGAAACATTTGAACTACAATACGGATACCTTTATATGGAACACTACAAATAAAAACCTTCTTCCCTGAAATGATTGCAACCAAATTACCAAACTGCCAGATTGAAAAATGTCTTGCTTTCTCACAATGCCTGGTGGGTTGACCTTGACTGGCTGCCAGACACCAACCCAACCACCCTCTTGCTTTCCATCCTCAGCATGACAGTTGGTCAAAATAAGATGTAAAATCACATGGGTTGAGCTAAGGACACTGTGATCACTTACCAGTTACTGTCACAGGGAAAACAGACTTGTAATGATGAATTTGAATTTATTGCCAATTAAAAATAGAGTAGGATGGTGAGAAACAAAGGCTCAAACTACCTCCCCTGGCTCAGCTTCACTCCTTCATTCCCAATTCTTCTCTCTTCTTTCTGCCTAGTGGTGCAGAAGGAATCAATAATAAGGGCTGTGGTCAGCTTGTAAGACTTTAGCACTCCTTCCTCTGCACACTTTCCCCCTGCTCCAGCACAGGTTCTCTCCTTGCAGTACAGTACTTCAGCATAAACTGCTCCAGCATGGACCATCCATGGGTCACAGTTCCTGCCAGGATCCTGCTCCTGCATGGCTCTCCATAGGCTGCCGCTGCAGAGTGGATACCTCCTCTGGGGTGGTCCTCTCATGGGCTGCACAGAAATTCTTCACTACAGTCTTCTCCATGAGCTGCAGGGGGAATATCTCCTCCCCTCTTTCTTCACTGACCTTGGGTTCTGCAGAGTTTCACATTTTTCTCACTCCTCTTTCTCACAGCTGCTGTGCAGTATTTTTGACCCTTTCCTAAATACCTCATCACAGAGGCACCACCTGCTACACTGGGTGGCTCAGCTTTGGCCAACAGTGGGTCTATTCTACAGCTGGCTGGAACCAGCTGTGCTCAGCCCAGGATGAGACTGGAGGTGGGGGGGCAGCCCCAAGTCTCTCAGCACAGAGGCCACCTGTGCAGTCATCCTCACCTCCTAACCTTGCCATACACAACGTAAAACACCAACTGTATGTACAGATCAGCACCCAGCATTGCAGGGACTAACAGTCTCTGCAGGTTGCTAACCAGCAATGATTTCCTACCACCATCAAAAAGAAAAATCACATTACTGTTTCAACAGTGCACCATGCACAAGCACATAAGATACTAGCAATCCTAAAGCTTAGAAATCAGTAAGCAACATAAATACATCTTCCTCAACTGGAAAAAAAAAAAATCCTAATATATACACCTCTATCTATACATGTATTTGAAATACATAATGTCATAAGAGGCATTAGAAACAAGACAGATGTGGAGCATGCTGCCGCAACACTTACAGGAAATGTGTCTGTCCCTAGAGAAGATCCTTCCCTGGAGTTAGGTGGGTTGTGGAAAACAGCAACACAACTTAACCCTTTCAGTGTGGATTAGTACACTCTACCAGCATGCCAAGCACAGGAACAAGTGCAAGTGATGTTTTTTTAAGAAAGGATCAAGTGACAGTTTTGGAATATTATGTGCAGCAAACACCAGGTGGACAGAGGCTTGACTGCCACAAGCATACAGCAAAACCTTTTGATATAGACAAATGCTGAGTGTAGCTTTGTTGACAAAATATCTGATAGGGATATTGCTTACAATAAGAGAAGAGCTCTTTGTCACACAAAAGAGTAGCAGTTTCCAGAACAGAAGCTGCGTTGTCCAAAGAACTTTTGCTATGAAAGCTGTATTTTACTGAGCGTTTTTACCAGGATAATTTTGTAGTCAGAAATACAATCTTCATTCCCCACAAATGCCTCTCACATTTTCATGACATAGCAATGTGTCAGCAAACACAGACCAAGCTACTATTCAATCCTCCAGGACATGATGAAGAAGTATGTGGCATGATTAAACTCCCTGGGGTGACTGTTCAGCAAAGCGTTTAATCTTCTATTCATTAGTGTTATTTTCACTAATAGTAGTCTGGATTCTTACAGCGCTTTCAAATAACTAGCCCTAAACATCTGTAGTTGGAATTTTTTTTTTTAAGAAAATAACCAGAAAACTAAAATGTACTACTAAATTCTTCTAAAAGTGCCAAAAAGCAGCTGCCACACTACTTCAAACCACATCACATGGGCAGTGTGAGAATTCAATGCAGCCTGTGTTACATTATGCCACCCACTGGTTCTGATGTCAGACTGTCTGCAAAAACTCTTAAAGAAAGCCTTGCTAATGTTGCCAACAAGTAGAAAACTGAATTTTTTATTAGCTTGATCTAAACAACACTGTTGAGAATAATATTGTATAGAAAAGTGAAGATATCATTAACCCAAATCAGCAGAAATTCTTTCCAAACATGTGAGACAAAATTCATTTGGGTTAGTATCAACAATATACTTGACCTCAATTTTTTAAAAATAAGTATTTTAAAAACTACTTTTCTTCTATTCAAATATTAAACAGGTTTCAAATGTTTCCTGACGATATTGCTTATAGAACATTAAAAAAATCGAAAAGAATAAGTAAAAATACTAAAACCAAAAATCCTAAAAATGGGAAAAAATGGATCAGAATTATTCTAATCAAAACCATTTAACTACATAACTTGGTTTCAACTTGATATAATTCTTCTATAATTCAAGAAGCACAGTCTCATAGAAAGTTTGTCTATTTCTCCTTGTTATCAAAGCATACAATCCCTTCCTCAAACCTTAGAGTCCCCTTAATCAGAAGGTGGGTGTGAATAAAAACACTAAGCAAATACTTGAGGGAAAAAAAACAAAGAAACCAGACAATGATGATCAACTTCTCTCACCAAATTAGCAAAAGTCTGACAAAGATATTCAGGATATTTTAACTATAAGAAGTGCTACTTCTACTACTAGCATTTCTGAATCTAAAATTCTAAACAGGGTTTTTTTGTTTTCTTTGCACGAGTATCAATGTAGGTGCTACTAAAACATTAGTTACTGAAATGATCAGTTTGGTAAATGATATTTTCAGCTTCTACCACCATGAAAATTGATGCTTTTTTCTATTGGCAAATAAAAAAAAAAAATCACTGAACAAAACTATTTGCACTTCCTAGAAGTTCATCTGAGAGGAACATCCAATCACATAAGCACCTTTGGTGACAGACTAAGAAACATCCAATTCAGAGTGAGCCCTTCATAAAGGTCCAGCTTTATATGGAATATGAAGATTCTTCATAGAATAAAAACCACTCAAAAGCACTTCAGAAATTTGGGATAATTAAACAAGTTGCTTAAGTATAGCAAACTACGCTACTGTTTACAAGAATGTTAGCTCATGATTTAAATAAAGGAACAAATGATAAAATGAAATGTACAGAAGTTAAAGACTAAGGACATGAAAATGAAAAACAGATGTTTAGTTCTATCTCCACACTTGCTTATCTGTTTCAGTCAGTTCCTACTGAATGCACTCCTAAATAGGGTACACATACCTAAAAGAAACAGAAATTCACAAACCCCAGGTGCTGCTCCTCCGGGTACATTCTTTGAAGCTCAGCCAGTTAAAAAAAGTTGTTAGAGGAATTCTGCATGTGTTCAATTCCTAAACCTTCATTTTAGAAACATTAAGAGCACAGGTTATTCTAGCGAATACTGGATGTAACCTGCCTCACCAATTATGCCAGAGGAAGGAGAAGCTGTACCTTCTGGAGGAGCTCACTGAAGAAGCTGAAAAGGTTCTGAGCGATAGCAGCACAGCACAGCTTGCTGAAACAAACCTGGTCAAGTATCTCCTTCAGCAGTTTCATTTAGATTGAAAAAAAAAAAATACATGAGGAAAAACACCAAACAAACCATCACCAAACCTCCTCCTATGTATTCTAAAGGAATTCTTCAAATTCAAACTTTCACATGCTCTTTCAAAATTAGCATTACTACCATTTTTCTACAGCCAAGCACTATATGTGATAGGCAGAGATAGGCCCTTTGACAATAGATAGCACAGTAAAAATACACAGTAACCATGTATTATAAAAATATTTATGGTTTATTTTTACAGACCTTGAACATGTAAATGACACACACTTATCTCAAATTTAAATTTCACTCAACTCTGTATTCTCCTTTTTTTTTTTTTTTTTTTTGTCAAATTGTTCTGGGCTTCCATTAAAATTATTTTAGACTGTCCCTGAAAATGCCATGATGAAAAATGAGCATGATAGCAGCTGTAAAGTGCTGTTTTAACTTAGAAGAATTAGTGTCTTGTTTTCATTTAAGCACCAGAAGATAATGTCTGGACCATAACTAGATGACTTTAGTTTGTTTTCCTGACTGTAGCAACATTTCTAAGATAACAAAAACATCCAAGTATCAACTGCAGGTCTTAAAAATCACAGTTTTCTAACTGGCCCTAAACTTTTGTTTAAGTGATAAGCGTAAAGCAAAGAAAGTCTCATGGGAGATTTACTGAGATTTACTGGGTTAGTGACTGCTAAACTAATCTTTGTTGGAAGCTCCCATAGCCATCTTCACTTTCCTACTCTCCCCATTTCAGTGTCTCTTTTCCAGAGACATTTCACTGCTGAATAATGTTAGTCCACTGTAGTTAGTCACTGATACTAAAATTTAATTGCTAAATCACTGTCAGTGATTTTGTGATGTGATTCTCTGTAAGCAGAACTATTTCCTATGGCACATGATCTCAGTGAGATTTTCTTAGGGAAAATCAGACAATAGTAAGACAGTGAGTGAACAGACCCATGACTGAAAAAGATCTAGCACTTTATAGTTTAGAAACATGAGGCACTTTCAGATCTTGTAGAAGACAGGCACAACAATGAACAGATTAGGATGAGAAACTTGTAAATGTTGGCAGGCAACTGATCAGCATTTCATACCATGAACATAATTTTCCACATTGATTCCAAAAGAGGGAAAACCTTGGAGTAGGTAACAGCTCTTCAAACAGGTGAACCAGGCAGCAGACTTAGCAAAGCAAAAAAAAAAAAATTATCTCAAAGCAACACAGTGTGTCACGCAGACCCACAGACACTGGCAAAATGTCACTGAGAGGGGAATTATACCTTGTTCCTATTTTGACAAAGCTCAAGATATCCAGGCTGCTTCTCGTATTACCCCACCCCAAAAAAAGGGACGAGTTAAGTGACAGTAGCAGTTATGAGAAGGAAAACTGGTCTTCTGCTCCTTCCCACAGTGCAACAAAAACAGCAGTTCAGGCTCTCCCTAACTTAAATTTTACTTTGCTCTGTTATTGAGAAACCTCAAGATGACAGTGGCAGATGCCAAACTGACCAGGCCATTGAGCAAACCTGGCTAAAAAAGGAACAAACCCTCTAAGTTCGCTGCTTGGTCTCTAAGTCTGGCACCTCAGCAGCATACCACTGCCTTTAGTTAAGGCTGAATTGATCAACATAATTGATAATCTTTTAAACAAAGGAGGTCTTTTCATTACAGAAGACTAAAATATCAAATACTACTGAGATACATACATATTTGTATTTCCAGTAAGATTTTTTTATTTAACCAAGTAAAATTTTTGTTAATAAATTCTTCTTTGTAAAGGAGTATTTTACACAAGGTTAAAAAACATTTAAAAATCCATGACACTGAGGTTATTAAATTTAAAGTACACTTCTGTGGGTTTCCAAACCTAAGCAAACATTGTGTGTTGTCACCTGCTGTGCAGAAGACTAACTGCCGGAGGCGAGAGACAATGCGGGAACTCTTTAAAAGCTCTCTAAGCAGGATGAAATACACCAGAGTTACCCGGCAATGCACACAGCTGGAATCACCCTGCCGCCCGAATCAATGCGGTACTGTGGGCAAACCCTTGGGCGGGATCCGTACGTGGCGGAGACACCTCCCTCGGTCAATACCGTGGGTTTGGACAGTGCATCCGGCCGGGCTCCGGCCAGCCCGGGCCCCTCGCCCATCGCGCTTCCCCGGCGCGGAGCCCACAGCGCTGGGCTGGCCCGGCCCGGGCAGGCCCCTGGGGCCGGCGGCCTCGCCGGGAGCCGCGGGCGCGCCAAGGGGCGGCGGAGGGGCAGCCCCGGCCCCGCGGCCCCCGGGGCCGCTCCCGGACCTCACGGCTCCCGCCCGCCCGCCGAGCCCAGCCGGGCGCGCTCGCAGGGCTGCGGCGAGCGGAGGAGAAGCGGCACCGGCCGCTGCCCTTGGAGAGGCCACGGAGGAGCGGGCTCCCCTACTCACCTCGTCCGGCGGGAGGACGGCGGAGGCGCAGCCGAGCGAGCGGCACCGCAGCCCCGGGAGGCCGGAGCCGGGCGGGCTCTGCGGCTTCCGCCCCGCGCCCGCCAGGTGCGCGCGGCCGGCCCCGCGCCTGCGCCCGCGCGCCCCGCCCTCACCTGGCGCCCAGGTGCGCGAGGCGGCCCCGGCGGCGGCTGCGCCCATCCCGGTCCCGGTCCCGGTGCCGGTGCTGCCCCGCACCGCGCACGGCCCAGCCCCGGCCGCACGGCAGCGGCTGCGGGGCTCGCCTCAACCGCCCGAGCCTACCGTCGGCAAGATGGGGCTGACCAAGCACTGCCAGTGCTGGGAAACAAAACACAAAATCCCTCCGAGGGTGAGATCAGTCTGGGAGAAAGGCTCCCACACTGAGCCATCTCTCTCTCTCTCTTCACAATGGAGTTTCCCAGAGAGATAGGTACAATATCACTTTTCTGCAGAAGCATGGTTCGATGTGGGGGAGAAAAAACCCAAAGTAATATTTGCACTCTCATAACAGAGTGTAGAGTCTCCCCTTCTTTGTACACTCAATAGCAGCATAATCACCATCACACTCCAGCACTTCAAAACTTCTTTCTTTGAGCTGCTGAACCGCAGGTATCTAAACGTGCTCAGCAAGTAGAAGGGGAGCAGGCAGTAGTTGTACTGATTTGTGTCACAGCAGTGCCAAAAATGGTGATGCCAGCTCTTTTAGGAATTAATATTGCCCAAGAAGACTTAATATAGATTCAGACTTGAATCTCTCACAATTCACAGGTTCCGTTATTTCTAGGATGTTAAAACCCTTCCTTATGACTTTGACAGCTGATGCCTAAACTGTGCTAAGCACTACAGCACCTGAGACAGGCATAGCCAGTGTTCAACTTTCGTAGCACAAAATTCAAGTAAAGCAAATTTCTAGAGTGAACTTTTAAAAATCTGCTGTTGCCCAAAATAAAGCCTGCATCAACATACTGACTCCTTAAAAAACCCAAAACCCCCAACCATCAATTATAGTATCAAAGAAAACCCCACCTCAGAACAAGACTTAGACCATTTACACAGCTTCTCTTTTAGCAAGCACCATGTCATATAATTAGCAACAACTTTTAGCAGAGACAGAATCAAGAGATTTTTGCAGTAATGGTCCAATTCTCAACAGTTTATGGCAGGTCAATGTTGCAAAAACCCAGGAGTTCTAATTTCATTGCAAGATGAAGCAAGAAGTAAAACCACAGAGCAAATGAAGCTAGATAGCAAAACCACTGTTAAATTCCTTGAAAAGTGGCATAGTCATAAGCTGATGGAGAAGTATTTGCTACTTAAAAACTTCCTTATTTTCCTGCTTTTCCCCCATTCAGCCCTGTATATGCAACACATTAATGAGTTCTTTATCATCAGCTTCTGAAGATCCAGAATCCACTGCCACTGAGACTTTGCTGAAATGTCACTTTTCAAAGAAAATCTTCAGCAAATTGTCTAACATTATAAACTCTGTTTAAAGAATGCTTATAAAACTACTCACTCATTTAATGAATAACATTATTCATTAAATAAAATAAAACTACTACATTATTTAAGGAAGAACAATATTAAATTCTAGGTTACTAAACTAGAGCTGCCTGATTTTATCAAGTCTATAGCCTTTCTAAAAATTGTTGTAGCCATATTTGAGAAACTATTTGCAATAGTCAAACCTAGCCCGAAATGGGCTTCAAATTCTTCAGATTCTTTCCACTCTATTTTTGTTAAGAATCTTACTAGTTTAGTTATTTTTAGCTATTTATACTAATTATTTTTGCCAAATGATACTTTCTAGACCATCTTTTTAGCATTCTGCAAATAAAAAAAATTAATAATATTCTACAAATAAAATAACTATTTTCTGGATGCAAATGAAACCAGAAAATAGTATTTAGCACAGTGTTACCAAAAATCATTTAATCTCCTCTGAAAGATATTCTAGGTATTCTGTACCTGCAGATGAAAAGGGGGACAAGAGAGAAGAGACACCTATGGCTTATGTTGCTATAGCTACAAGATGCTTAGATTTTCAGTTCCAGTGAATGAATCAATAGAAAACACAGCTTCACTCTCCTTTTTTATTCATCAAAGGCAAAACTGGAAGATGGGTTGCTAAGCAACATCACACTGAAGAGTGCAGGGCTTTGAAATTAGCATTACTGACTCCCCTCCATCCCAGAAGTCTGTTCCATTCAAACCCATTTATTAAGGAGCCCCACCAAACTACCAGAACATGCATTTTTTAAGTAAGAAACAGTAAAAGCAGAGAGGTATGACATCAAACCTTTTCTTCTGCAGAAAAAATAAAAAAGAAAAGTAAAAAGAAAATAAGCACAGGAAAACTTAAATTGGCTTATATAAACCAAAAGGGATATAGAAAGGACATTTATTTCTACTGAGAATATTACATTAAAGCAAGATTTTTTCTGACTACTTAGAGCCTTTTTTAAAAAACTGAAATCCAAAGACATGTCTCATTTGTACTCCTATTTTAAAGGCCTCATACATAAAAAGACATCAGTGCCTAGATGGCTGACAAGGAATTCAGGAATCTTACCTGCATGGCGTATACATAAAACCCCACCAAAAGTCAGCCACAGAAAGCCTGAAGTCTCGGCTCAATTTCTATCACCCAGTTACTTTATCTTCCCATTGTCACGACTTATTCTATCACACCCACCTTATGAAAGGCTAATGTCCATCTTATGAGAAAAGCAAGTCAGATGAAGGTGTCTTGACGTTTCTGAAGACATCTTGCACCTGTTTTTATTCTGAAGTTCAGCTAAATATTATTCCTGTGCTATCCAGGAAGTAACAACACATTGATCCTTCATGAATAAGGCTGTGTACAAAGAAATGTTGTTTTACTAGAAGCTGCCTCAATAAGTACTTATTAATAGTGAAAAAACCCCAACAAGCATAGTTTAAGAATTTATAGCCTACTGACCCCCCAGCCCACCTGTCAGAGATCCCCCATCCTCAGCATTCTCCAGATTTTTCCATATTCCTCATTCCAGTCCCATACCATCAATTTTTTCCTACTCTACTAAATCTTCTTTCTCTGAGCTCTGTCATGCTGCAAAACTTACACGCAAGAAACAGGGGGCTTGCATTGTGCCTGGTACAGTCACGTACAACTGACTGACAGTGCTCAAATAGAAGGGACAAAGCCACACCATGAGTTTCAAGGACCCCTAGGGAAGAAGAGGCCACTTTCTTGATTCTCTTCTCCATTATAATATCCACACAAATCTTGCAGCTGAACAGCTCCAAATCTTTGGAGCTGAACAACAGCTCCAAAGTTACTGGAATGCAGGACCTAGCAACCACCAGCAGGCAGCATCACTGTCAAAGTGATGCACCTCAATATATTCAGAAAACAAGGCTAAAAATTCCCCAATATACAGCACCCAGTTACTGATAAGCAAGATTAGATACAACAGCAAACAGGCTCCCTTTGGTAGCCTTAACACTGAGTTGTCCTAAAAAGAAATCCAAAAGTCAAACTAAAGTGACTTTAAAAAACGTCAACAGGAAAAACTCAAAACTCAAAATTGCTTATAAAATATATAAACTTAATCACTACCATTAAGAATTCTCTTCTCATGCCAAAACATTACTTTTCTAGTAAGACACATACAACATCGAGTGCTGTTTGAAAACCAAATACAACAGTGCAACAGGGTTTTTTCAAAAATTCTGCATGAGTGAAAAGAAACCTGATCTTTCTCCTTCCTTTCACTCATTCGTGACATGCTACTGCTCCCTTAAAGATACACAGGTGTATTCGGTATGTGAGACAAGATGTAATAAAGGTTATTTCCCTAAAAATATGGTTATACAGATCAAACAAAATGAGTGCCAACTTCTGCATATGACTATTTTGCCTAACATACAGTGTTGAAAGACCATGCACTATAAATTAAGAACAATTCTCTTCATGGAAATCTGACAGGTGGATAATAGCATGAGCAGAAAGTAAATTCTGTATAAGAGCTGCAGAGTCTATGAAAGTTTTTACTCAGTATTTATATAGGAGCTAAATTTTAACTGTTGTATTTTCATTTAAAAATGTAAATTTAATTGAGAACAATGCACATAGCTGTTTGTTTTCAGGATTTTTTAAAAAGTAAAGCATGTTTTAATATATGTAGAAATAAAACTCCCTCATAATTTAGAAATGCACCTGTATGAATAAAGATTACACTGTAATTATGAAGTAGTGATTTACATGAACTAAAATCCCGCATCTTTACAATGCACATCCAGTAGATAAGACAGGTTGTTGTTTTTGTGTTATTTCAAATAAACACAACAAAATACTGAGTTATATGTTTAAAATATTTTTATAATGCTGATAACACTTTGTTTTGATGACACTTTACATAAAACATGTGGGAGTGGTATTCTATCCTGAATGAGAACAAATAAAATTTCTTTCAGGGTTGCAGATTTTTCATAAAAATAACCCAGATCTCTAATACAGTTAAATTCATCATACCCACAGTATTTTTTTGCTGATGTGGTCTCTGCCACTGCAGTATTTCATTCATAGTTTCCAAAGTCTGGTTAACAGAACTCCATGAGTCATACAAAAAACTAACTCAGTTTCTTAGACATGCACGGGCCTTGTCCAGTATTTCCTTCCTGATCTTCGGATAGTTTGGATGTACTTTAAGGACCTGTCAAAAGACAATACAACCCAAAAGTTCTGAGTTGGTAATCTCTCTCATCACTGAGCTTACACATTTTAAAACTAAAACAACAACAAGTTTGTTTTAAGAATGCACAAATATTTAATTGTGGATAGAGACCACCACACATGCAAGTCAAAACCACCTCTATCAAAGACACTTCGTTTCATTTCCACTGTCCTTTCAGCTTGGTGCAAAAGATATGGGGGTCAAGGGCTAAAGCATGAAATGCATGAATCACAAGGCACCTCTGGAGACATTACTGAGGTTTTAAGCATACTTTCTCTGCAATGATGAACTGCTTTTATGTCTTCACTCCCTTGATTCTTTCTTAGCATATTCTACCTACTCCATCTT